GGAGATAGAGATATATATATATATACACAGCCTTAAAAAAGAAATAAATACAAGTAATCCAAATCGAGACAAGTAGATTAATATTCAGTATGAAAACTATATGGATAGAGGTTAATATAATAAATTTTAATATCTATTATGCAACGTATCTGTGTGTATAAATATTGAAGATCAATACGATATAAATAGATACTAAAAATATTCAAATCAAATGGATTTTTGTTTTTTATTTGGTTACTGGCAGGGCATTTACATGAATAATACAGAAATGAAAATATACACATCTATAATAAAGAAATAAATATAGGGAGATAGAGAGAAGAGACAGATAGAGAGATAAAGAGATATAGCCATAAAAAAGAAATAAATAGAAATTATCTATATCTAGACAAGCTGGTTAATATTCAATATGAATAATATATGGAGAGATGGTTATGTATTTTAATATCTGTTGTGCATTATATCTCTGTGTGTATAAATAAAGAAAATCAATATTATAGAAATAGATATAAATATTTCAATCAAGGGAATTACTGATTTTTATTTGGTTACAGGCACGGCATTTAAATGAATAATATAGAAATGAAAATATACACATCTATAATAAAGAAATAAATATAGGGAGATAGATATATATTTATATATGTAGCCATAAAAAAGTTATCTATACAAGTAATCCGAATCTACACAAGTAGATTAATATTCAGTATGAAAACAATATGGGTAGATGTTAATATAATAAATTTTAATATCTATTATGCAATATATCTGTATGCATAAATAAAGAAGATCAATATGATAGAAATAAATATTACAAAGAGTTAAATGAAGGGACTTTTGGTTTTTTATTTGGTTAGAGGCTTAGAGGCAGGGCATTTAAGTGAATAATATAGAAATGAAAATATACCCATCTATAATAAAGAAATGAATATAGGGAGATAGATAGACAGACAGACAGACAGATAGATAGATAGAGCCATAAAAAAGAAATAAATACCAGTAATCCAAATCTGGACAAGTAAATTAATAATCAGTATAAAAGCTATACAGATAGATGGTAATGTACTTTAATATCTGTTATGCATTATATCTATGTGTATAAATCTAGAAGATCAATATTATAGAAATAGGTATTAAAAACATTTAAAACAAGGGTTTAATTGGTTTTTATTTGGTTAGAGGCTTAGAGGCATGGCTTTTAAATGATTAATATAGAAATGAAAATATACACCTCTATAATAAAGAAATAAATATAGGGAGATATATATATATAAATTGAAATAAAAACAAATAAATACAAGTAATCTAAAACTAGACAATTAGATTAATATTCAATATGAAAAATATATGGATAGACGTTAATATATTTTTATATTGATTATGCATTATATCTATGTGTATAAATATAGATCAATATGATAGAAATAAATATTAAATACATTTAAATGAAGGGGTATTTTGTTTTTTATTTGGTTAGAGGCAGGGCTTGCTAAGTTTCGATGGGGGGGTTTTTTGGGGCGTTCCTTGGAGAAGAGTTTTTGGAAGGGGGTTGCACATGTGGTTTCTTGCCTCTCTTCTCTGCAGGTGCAGGGGCGCCCCCCGCCCACCCTGGGCTGAGCTCTGCGGCAGTGCTGCCGCCTTGTGGGCACAGAGCGGTACTGCAGCTGTGCTCCGAGCTGGGTGGTGCCTGGCCGAGCGGGGCCAGGCGGGGCTGAGCTGAAGCGGGCGGGGCCAAGACGAGCCGAAGTGGGCCGGAAAGAGCCGAACCGAGCGGAGCCGCGTCATGACCAACCCCCCGCAGGAGCCGGCCGGGAGGACCCAAGCAGAGGCGTTGACTCTAATGCCTGCCGCCGCAGGTGCGGCCGCCACCCAGCTATGGAGCCGCTGAGCCCCGCCGCCATCGTCCTCGCCCCGGGAAAGGTGGCGGAAAATCAGGCAGAGTGCTTGGAGTCGGTCAGCGTCGGCAGGTTTTTCGTTCAGGCAAGTAAGTAAGACAGACGTGCTGAGAGCAGCAGGGGCCTTAATTGTGCCATAACAAAGATGGCTGCTCGGCCGGAATTGGCTTCAGCCACAACAAAGATGGCGGCAAGGAAGGGTGGAAGTGACGTCACACCATGCACAAGATGGCTGCCTGGTCGTGGCTGGCTTGACCTTCCAAGGATGGCGGCCAAAAAGGCGGGAAAATGGAAGGACCCCGGGCGGTGGGTGCGTGCTTTTGACTGCCTGACAAACATCCCGGCGCCAACGCCACTCTGGCGCAATTTTCTGCAGCTTTTCCGGCCGTGCAGACACGGGCTGTGCGCTCGACGGCTCCAGGGCCGGGCGCGAGTTGGTCGGGTGCCGACAGGCAACGGTGAAGACGCCTCTCTCTGCCGGGGTCCTTGCCGCGGCCGTGTTCTGGGGCTTATGGCACTCGCGACGACCTGTACCTTGCCACCGCTCCTCTCGCTCTGTTCTCTCCCCCACGGCCCGGGGAAATGGCGGAAACCCCAATGGCATCGGGACCAAACGGTCGCTCCCTGGCCCTGGGACCGAAGCAGCCCAAGGAGGTGGCTGCTCTGTGTGCCGGAACGGTGAGAGCGGCGGGCGGGGCGGGGGCAGGTTATCAACCGAGTATATACCTGTAAGTATAAAGATGATCAAAATAGATATTAAAAACTATTGAAGATAAAGGGACTGCTTGGTTTTTATTTAGTTAGAGGCAGGGCTTTTAAATAAATAAGAAAAATAAAAATAAATAAAATCTTTAAAGAATGAATATATAAAGGTATAGAGAAATGTATATAGACATATATATATGTACGTGTAAAAATAAGTACAAATAAGTAATAGAAATATGTACATATATATTGATTTATAATCTATAATATGATTTCTGTACGTATAGATGGTAATATGATATATTTTAGGATATGTTATGTGTTATGTATATCAACAAGGTATATAAATATGATAAAAATTATATATTAAAATATTTTTGAATACCGTTTAATATAAAGGGACTGTTTGGTTTTTATTAGGTTAGCTTCGGGGCTTTTAAATAAATACTACAAAAATAAAAACATAGAAATGTATATTAAATATATAAAGATATAGACGTATGTGCAACCAGAAAAGTAAAGATATATAAGTAATGCCAATATATACAAACTGATTTATATTTAATATATATATTATATATATTGATTTAATATATGTATTATATATATAATAAATATATATCATTAAAATGTATATAATATATTTAATATATAATAACATACGTATACATGTTAAAATAATATATTTTGATACTTTATATATTGCTTGTCATATATAAATGAATATAGTATATAAATTTAAACATGTGTGGTGGAAATAGATGTTAATTTGGTTTTTTTTCATTTTCATTGTTTTGGTATGTTTCTCGGAGGCAATCCTCCCCTTGCAGCTGCTGACAGCACTGAAAACCTGTGTGCTTCGTGGTGTCTATTGCCTAGCTGTCTACGATTCCCTTGTGTTTGGTGCATTAAGTCACACCGAGCTGTGTGGGATGGCAGGTGAGCACATTGCCCAACCCTTTTAGCTTTTCTGGCTCACACACAACTTCCTTTCCTTTTGGATATGGAAAACAGGGAAGAGAGGGTAGTGTGACATTAGCACTAATTTCTAGCAGATTTTTAACTGCCCCTGATGCTCGTTCATCTTTGCAGTGTGGGTTTTCATGCTGACAAATCCTCTGCTTTGCCTTCTGCTCACAGTCAGCTGGGCCCTTTATTGAACAGATTTATCTGCTACAAGGCTATGCAGAAGGATGGAAAGGAGGAACACGGGGGGAAAAAAATAGATTCAAGGCTGTGCATTGATCATCTGATGTACTCTAGAGACAAACGTGGCTATCAGAGGTAACATGGAGCAGCCCTTCTGGCCTTTTCAGTTGTATTCAGAGAGATGTTTGCCTGCTGTGAATATCTGGGTGCTTGGAGTTCACTCTGATTTCAACAAGCCCATCAATAATAAAACATTGTATTGATAGAACAAGATCTACTTCTGTGAAGTTGTGGCTGCACAGAAAAGCGGCATAAAGAAGGTAGCTGGTTTATTTGTATGATATGTAGCTTTTTTAGGATGTTTTGTTCTTTATATGGTGTTAATTCCAAATACAAGCCTGTGAACTTTGTGTTCCCCTTTAGGGGCTGGTTCTGGGGTAACGAGGAAACACGAGGCCTAAACACCTCTGGCTTGTCTGTCCAAGGATCTGCCTCAATTGTGGCTCCCATCCTTCTGAAGAACTCTTCAGCACAGTGAGTTACCTTCTATAACTATTTATTGTTGTACTGTTGTTGTGAGACCTCATTGCTGGGTGAGAGGACCAGGGGAAATTAAAGGCTGTATGCCACTGTTACTTCATCACTGAATTCTTGTACTCTGTTAAAATCAAAACAAAAGGGATTTTACACTGTCAGAAACACTTAACTGTAAGTTAAGGTAAAGGTCACAGTGCTAAAACGTAAGAGCAGATAGCATTGAGCTCCTTTCTATTCCCTCTCCGGCAGCTTTTGTGACTCCTGCCTCCAAGGTATCATCAGCTATCCCCTGGATCTTGCAGTAGAAGAGATGCTGAACCATCAGCTGTTCCATATTCTACACCATGTGTCTTTTTACCATGCTCCTCTGAGAAGCATCTCTCCCTTCTCTGTTTCTTTGCAGACAAGAAGGGAGAAATTGGGATTGCCTTTGTTATTTTGCCTGTTAATAAAAAGGCCGCTTGTGGCTGTGTGCAGTGGCAACTGCATCACAGAATCTTAGAGGTGATTATTCACAAGTTAAGGAAATAATTCCTTTTTTTGTAACTGCTGCACTGAATTTCATAGGCGTGTCTGTGTCTTGATGCCTAAGATATTTAGAGCAGGTTTTATTCTTACAGGGGTTTTGCACACTAAAGTGTGTGCCCAGGTTTTGTTTCCAAAAGTGAGGTATAGTGCTGGGTGTTTAATTTGGTATGTTACTTGTTCTGTTGTGTAAATAACTGCAGTGCCCTCCCTGTGCCTGTGTATTGCAGGGGCAGGTGAGCGCTGGTTATAAAGGTGGTGATAATTAGGAATAAGCTGTTTAAGCTTGGATAAATGTTTAGAAATCATTGCTTAGATATTGCTGTGTAAAATGCTCACTTGCGGTGAGACACTTCTCTAGGGTCAAGCTGTTCAGGTATAAGCAATTTATTATAAGGGTAAAGAGAGGGGAGACCTTTGTCCACCACCAGCCTCGGCATCCACGTGGTCCAGGGGAGGGGAGAGAGCGGGGAGAGCAGGGGAGGAGAGGTTGGAAAAGGGGAGGGAGGGAGTAAGAGCAACAGAGGGAGAGCGGGGGAAACCAGGGAGGCTTAGGAGAGGGGGGAGACAAGAGAGGGGTAAGAGGGGAAAAACCAAGAGGGTAAGAGTAAGAGAGGGAAAGAGTGGAAGAGGTAAGAGAGGGGGAGAGGGGAGCTGAGAGAGGAGTAAAGGGGTAAGAGAGAAGAGCCAAGAGGTACGAGAGAGGTTAAGAGGTAAGAGAGAGAGGTTTAAGAGTGAAAAGCTAAGAGAGCAAAGTTCTTGTCACAATCCAATGTATCTTTTTCTACAGTGAATATTCTAATTCCCAGTATCCAATCACTATGAGATACACCCACTAAAGACTTTACATACAGTGTTGCATTTGAGGCTCTACGAGCTTTACAAGTTCTTTCCTTGCTTCTTGGCCTTTGGGCTTTCTGTCAGCAGAAGGGCATTGTTTTATCAGCAGGGATTTTCCTTTAGCTGGCTAGGCTATTGTTCTCTGGTCATATAGTAACCAGTACTCTGTATCTTATGACTCAAAGCAGGCTTTCATTTCTATTCAATTCTAGCCTTCTTTTTTCAGAATGTTCTGCCAAACAATCACATTCATAAGGTTTCCCTGTTTCACCCTCCCCAACAGGCAGCGAGTTGTGCTGCGCTCTGATAATTCCATACTCAACCTGTTCCTCATTTCTTAAAGGTTCACTTCAGCCTTGAATCAGCAGGTCCCTAGGTCCTGCTTCCACAGGATCATCTGGGCCCAGCACCAGAGAAAAGGACTCGTGCCACTCCCGGTCTTCGTTGGACATGATCTCCACCTTAAACATGATGTGGGCCACACCTGACAACAGTTCAGAGACACGGGGCTTACTGTGCGAGTCAGAGCCTCAGCCATCACGTCACCAGCTCGGCTCCCTTCGGCTCTGCTGGCAGCAAGGGCAGAGTTTGCAGGGAGGGGAAGAAGCAAAGATGTGACTGAGAACATTCAGTCAGCATCTCAGTCCCCCCTGCCCCGAGAGGAGGCAGCTTCCTGTGAGCTCCCAAGGCCCCCTCCCATCCCTTCTCCTCCCTGACTTCTTCCCTCCCTCCTGCACCAC